GATTCAGTGACGTGCCAGGGATCAGGCAGCAAAACAAGAGGCAGGAATGAGCCCAGCTGGCTGCCTCCTTGCATGTCTAACCACCAGACATGCTCCTGCCAGCCTTGCTTTAACAGCTCGTGGTAGGCAGCCAATGAGCCGAACCGAGATAACGGGATGGGGGAAGCACGGAATGTGCTGCATTTTTCCTGAGCCACCATGGGAATAGGCTGTTCCAGCCATGGATGGCAGGGAGGCTCTCTTGACAGGAAAAACTCCCAAATGCCCAAACAGAAGAGGCAGAAAGTAGAAATTAACGATCAAGAAGAAGAAAAAAGAGAGGAAAATCAGGGTGGACAACAAGAGGTTAGCATGGCAGGGAAGAGAAGCAGAGGAACAAATGGAAGAAGGAAAAGCAGACCAAGAGGTAGTCAAGAATAAAGGAGACAAATGGATGCCAGGAGGACAAACCTGCTGGGGCTGGAACTGCTGATCAGCACCAGGGCTGGAAGGATGCAAGAGTAGGCCAGAGGCTCCCAGGCTCCACACACACCAGAGTAAACCAGCAGGTTGCAGCCCTTTTATTGGATTAAGACTCACTTAAGAGGAAAGACAAATGAGGGTCATTGCTCCAGTACCATGCACAAGGAGAGAAGAGGCTCTTTTTGCCTTGATCCACCCTAAGGGGGGAGAAAGGGGGTTGCTTTGGGTGTGCTGTAGGACAGCAGGAAGGCTCCATGGGAGCTGCCAGCTTCTGACTTCTTCACTCCTACAGCAGAAGGTGGTGAGCTTCAAATAAAGAGTGCTTTTGTCTCACACACCTTCATGCTGTTTAAGCTAGAGCAGTATCACAGACCAGCAGAAAGCAGAGCTTTAATAAATTGGGCCCAAAATAATTCCTTGCCTCAACTTCCAGTTTTTGCCTCTCCTGGAGCTCAAGCTGCCTCAGTGAGCAGGAGCCCCAGCCTGCACCAACCAGCAAAGGGGGTGAGAAAGGGATCAGCAAAGCTAAATCAAACCTGTCAGGAGCAGCCCCCAGGTTTCTCCTCCAGGCCTTGGAAAGCCTCACTCTGTCCCACTCCCCATGGTGCTGCTCTCCCAGAACCTCCCAGCAGCAGGACCCCAGCTCATGGGAGCAATGGGCTGAGGTGATAGCACACATTCCTGGGCCCTTAACACTGGGGACTTTGTGGCACAGGCCTGGAAAAAAAGAAATAACCTAAAAAAAAAAAAGCCTAATAATGAAGTGTTTATTTCAGTAAACAACATATGAATGAAAGAAGTGTTTCCTCAATACTTCACTTTTTCCCTGCCTTCTCTCTCTCTCCCCTCCAGCAATTATTTTTTTTAATAAGTGGAACTAAGGAGGCTTCACTGGCTGCTGCCACGGAGCACGTGCCACGGGAACAAAGCTGCCTTGTGCCCGGGCAGAAACACACCCCATGCCCACCTCCCACCTGGTGAGAGGGGAGATCTGCTCTGGTGGACACGCAGACCCACCAGACCCATAACTGGAGCAGCCGGGTGCTGCTGGGTGGGCAGTGCAGGACATTCCCCACCTTACAACCACACCTCCTGGCCCAGAGAAATGCTGGTGTCCAGGGACTCACAGGGCTTTGAGATGTCTCCAGGGAGAGGGGCTGAGGGGAGATGATGGGATCTGGTGTCCCCATCACACCTCAGCATGTGGGACACAGTGTCAGGCATACACTGCAATGCTGTAAAGCTCCTTCTCTTCCACCTCATCTCCACCCAGCCCTACATGAGCACCTGAACAGCTGGGAACACTGGGAAACTGGCTCAGCTTGTCTTGTATGGGGATGAGAGGTAAGGATGCTTTCTGCCGTGGCACAGACATGGAGGGTTGGGCTGATGATGTTTTGGTAGGAATTCCAGGTAGAACTTATTAATCCCTCCACCAGAGTGACACCCATCTTTTCAAAGCAATGGGCACTGATGATTTTGTCCTTATAATCTCTACCTCTTCCTTGGCAACAGCAGGTCCACAAGCCCTTCCTTGCCTTCAAGCCTTGGCATTAAGATGGAGAGGATTCTCCAAAGCTGCTGATTTGGGAGAACACAGTCCATCACTTTTCCACCCTCCTCCTGCCCTCATGGGGTGAGCTGAACCCCCCATCACACACAGCATGGCCATTCACCCTCTGCACCAAGGCAGGTAGAAGGGTGCAGTGGTGACCTTGGGTAAAGCTTATAAATACATACAGATTTGATGCAAGCAGATAATTGCTCTGGAAGCCACATGAGGCATCTGTAGGTCTGCAAGGGCATCAGCCCTGCTCTCTGTAGGGCCACAGCTCCCAGCAGCCTTGTCTGCCATCCTGTGCATGGTGTGGGGACAGTAAGGGTAGGAACGTGCCCAATTCCAAGGGCCCTTCCCCTGTGAGCAGCACGAGACTTTGGAGTGACTGCTCTGCTCTGCTGAGACCCCCCTGCAAGGCTGGGTCCAGTTCTGGAGCCCCCTACACAGGAAGGACATGGAGCTGTTGGAGAGACATGATCTGAGGGCTGGAGCAGCTCTGCTTTTGGAGACAGGCTGAGCAAGTTGGGGTGTTCAGCCTGGAGAAGAGAAGACTCCAGGGAGACCTGAGAGCACCTTCCAGTGCCTGAAGGGGCTCCAGGAAAGCTGGGGAGGGACTTGGGACAAGGGCAGGGAGGGATGGGATGAGGGAGAAGGGTTTCAGACTGAAAAAGGGGAGATTGAGATGAGACATTAGGAAGAAATTCTTTAGTGTGAGGGTGGGGAGAGCCTGGCCCAGGTTGCCCAGAGAAGCTGTGGCTGCCCCATCCCTGGCAGTGTTGAAGGGCAGGTTGGATGGGGCTTGGAGCAACCTGGGCTGGTGGGAGGTGTCCCTGCCCATGCAGGGGGGTGGGACTGGATGATGACCCCTTCCAACCCAAACCATTCTTTGATTCCATTACTCTATGACTAACCAAGGATGCTGATCCTACTGCAATGATAATGGATGCCTGAAGGCCTAAGGGGAAGAGAGAAGTGATGTTCCACAGCAGAGAAAAGGCCCCTTTGGAGGAAGAGCTGCAGGAGGCTGCTGTGTGGAATTGCTCCTCCCCTAGCAAGGGCATGTGTCCAGGCACCAGAAGACCTGCCTGCAGAGTGCCTGTCCTGCTGGAAGGCAGCTCTGTTCTCCATGGAAATCCATGTGCTCTTTGGGAGCTGGTCTGTGTGCATGGCAAAGCCAGTGAAATTCCCACCCTCCATCAGCACAGCCACCAGCACAGCTCCTGGGCTGCCTGCTTGACCACGGCAACTGGGAGAGCATGAAGAAGCCACTAAGATGGTCAGGGAGTGGGAGCTTGGCAGGGTCCTGCCCACTCAGCTCCTTGTCACCACCACCACCCAGGGTCACCCCTCCACTGTGCCCTGCTCCTGAGGGTCAGAGAGTCCCAGCACCAAATCCACTGCCAGGCGGGATGTCTGATCCATCCAGCCACAAATGAAACCACAGGGCTGCTGTCCTCCCTGCAGCCAGACCTGCCTGTGTTCCCTCAGGAGCAGTGACATCAGGTCCTTCCCCTTCAGGCCTCACAGCCTTGATCTCCAATGTGGTGGCATGTGGCAAACTGAAGAAAAAGGCCATTCCTCCTCATTCCCAAGCTGGCTCACCAAAACCCCACCCAAAAGCCTCCTGTGCTGCTGTGTGGCTGCTCCATGAGGTGCTTTGCAAACTAAGACCAGCCAGATGGTTTTTCCCAGGAAAACTCTATGGAGAAGGGGAAAATGTGCCAGAAACATACCTTGACACAGCAGGACTAAAATGCTACCCAGGGGCTTCCAAGAGGCATTTAAAGGGAGAAAAAGAGATGTGCTGACTTCTCTTGTATCTTTCTTGTGAGTAAAGCGAAACTCTGCTTGGCTTTAATGAGTTCTTTGCCTTTTCTTCTACTGGTTATATTACAAATCCACATATTTGTCTATTTGGAAGATTTACATGGACTGCAGAACAGCTTCCCCAGTGACTTGGTTTCAGCAAAGGGAAGAAAGTTGTGCAACTAGAGAATAAAGCAATCTGTCACCAAATAGCTTAAATTCTTTGTCTGGCCTCATTAATACCTAGTTAGCTTTGATGCCTAACTAACCTCACAGATAGAGGAAGCCTTTGAGGAGGGCTCCACAACCTCACACTGAAGTGTTAGAACATACAACAAATGCCAGAAAGATCTCCAAAAAAAAGAAAAAGCAGGAAGAAAGAGAACCAAACTCAACATTCTTACAATTTCTAAGCATTTCTTTCTCTTTCCCCCCACCTCCTTTATCCATCTAAGGAAGCAGAGAGCAATGCAACTTCCAGTTCTTTTAAATATCCTTAGCAGGTCACCTCTAACTGTGGGAAGGTTGACTATGATCTGCTTCCAAGGCTGTTGCATCAGAGCTTGGAAACCTGGGAGATATTACTCCCTGCTTGAGCTGGAGCTGCAGTTTGAGACCTGTGCTCAGCACAGGATGCTCAAGGGGTGCTGCAGCAGCAGGGGGGGAGGAGGGAGTGCTGCATCACTCTGGGTACGCAAATGGGGCTGTCCCAGAGGGTGCAGCTCACCTTAAATGGGTGCTTCCACACTAGATGTGACCATCCTGTCTTAGCTCTTGGCTCCCATTTACCCCAGGGAGCTGCATCAAGGAGCATGGAGCCACAGGATGTGGCTCCTATAAAGAAGTGAGGGGTAGGGAGAGGGACATCCAGCTGCTCCAGCCCAGCAGACATGCATGTCCGTGTTCCACAGAAGCCTTGAAAGACACCTATGGCTCAGTTCTGGGGTGTCCTTCAGCCCCCTAAGGAAGGAGCCACCCTGGGCTCCCCACTGGGCAAGGGGGAACACTTGGACTTGATACCATCAGGAAGATTCTGCAGCAGACAGAGAGGACTAAAGGGATGTTGTCCCATGGGATGTTCCTTGCACAGTGACAGAGAGTGGCAGCAGAAGGGACAGGTGAGGGACTGGGGAGGTGGGAGCTCCTTCCCCCAGCCCTGCCCTGCAGCTCTTACCATTCAATGCTCAGAGACCTGGGCCGGAAGGCAGGCAGCTCTGCCGAGGCATGCTCAGCTCTCCTTCTCTTCTCCTGCTTCTGCTTCACCGACAAGCGGTGGGCAAACCTAGCGAGGCTGCTTTCCGACCTGGGGGAGGGGAGAGGAAAGGCATTAATGTCACTGAAGCACCTGGGCTCCCAAGGGCAGGTCCACAACACCAAGCCAGAAGATGTCTGGAGCAGAAAGAAGGGCACTGGGACAGGATGGCCCCAGCCCTGGGGGGGAAGGAGCAGGTTTCACGTGGCTTCAGCCAGGCAGGAGCAGCACAGGTCCATGGTGGGTCAGCAAAGCCAACTCTGGGAGACTGGCAGGCTGAGTGTGCTCTGGATCCTGCTCCCTGGGATGTGTGCTCCCAGTGCCAGCCTGGGAATGGCCAGTGATGGAGAAATGCTGGCTGCTTCTTGCAGTGTCTGCCCCAGAGGGGTTGGGCAGCCAGGGAAGCATCCAAGGAGAGAAGGAAAACAGATTTCTGCCACGGCCCCACATCCCCTCAGAGAAGGTTCAGAGCTCCTGTGGGCTCCCAGGGACCCAGCCAGCTTTCCTGGGAGGGCTGACATGGAAATCAGCCCATGCCAGGGATGTTTTGGAGGAGGAAACAGAAATGTCTGAGAGTAAATGAGTTCAGCTGCAAGACCCATACGGACTGACAAAGCCCCTTCCTGCTGGGTGGGATGCTCCAGCATCTCTCCCAGTTCCTGGGGACAGAGAGAGGAGCATCCCCAGGCCCCAGGGACAGGATACACATCCCCCTTCACCCCAGCTCACTCCAGAAGAGACCTGCTGTCCCGAGACACAGCCACACAGTCTGCAAGCCCAGTGGCACACAGGAAGCTGATGTTGAGTTTAGCCTGGGAAGTGCCTGGCCCTCAGAGACCCACTGAGACATATAGAAACACCCATGGACCTGCAGAGACCTCCAGAGGCCCACAGAGATCCACAGAGACCCACAGTGTCTCACAGAGACCTGCAGAGACCCTCTGCTCTCCACAGCAACCACAGACCCAAGTGCCTGAGGTGCCGAGGGCCAGCAAGCCCGGCTTGCAGCTGGACATGGTGCCACCACTTGTCCCTGCTGCCAGTTCAGTGGGAGCAGAGGTGGGAGCAAGGGAGGAGCAGCCTGGGGAGCTGGGACACAGTCAGGACTGGAGCACATAACTGGGCTGGTGGATCTGGTGCTCTTTGCCAGCCCTGACACACACACCGTGGTGGCTGCAGCTTCTCCTCCTCCTGTTGCACACCAGCGTGACCTGCTCCCAGCCCAGGGTAGGGAAGGGGACAGAAGTGATTTGACAGAGCTCCCAGGGGATCAGGCACAAACCTGGGGGGAGACTTGGAAACTAAAGCCAACCCTCCTCTCCTCTTGAGTCCTGACTGGCTTCAACCAAATAAAATACCTCAAAAAAAAAAAAATAATAATTTTATCTTCAAATATAGCCTACTATTTGACCTTCAACTGCAAACCCTAGCACTGAGTTTCTGCCATTGTGTGATGGTTTTGGGGGCTGGAAGTTGACTTGCCTCCTCAGGCTAACATGCAGACAACCCAAAGCAGTGTTTAAAAGCACTTGCTTTCTCTCAGACTAAGTCAAACCATGCAGAACCTCACTCAGAAGAAGAAAAAAAAAAAAAAAAAAAAAAAAAAAAAAAAAGAAAAAACAAAAAAAAAACCCCAAAAAAAAAAAAAAAAAAAAAAGAAAGAAAGAAAGAAAGACAAAAAGCCCACAAAGCAGAAGGGATTTCTCAGAAACGAGAGCTCCCTGCCTTTCCTCACAATTATTAAGCCAACCATGACCAGCTAACAGTTTTTTTTCCTGATACATTTTAAACACAGACATCTTCAATTCATTAACTCTGGTTATTGATTTATTTTTCAGCTTATGAATTGCTGTTGCTGGGGACGGGGTGGAGACAGCTTTCTGGAGAAGGCTCTTGTCTCCCGGATCACCGCCGGGAAGGAGCTGCTCAGACCTTCCAGGGTCATTCTTTACATTCTTGAGAGGAAATACTACTTTGATGTAAAGGATGAGGTTTGCCTTAAAAGAAACCCAACAAGAAACCCGAAGCCCAGCTTTCCCCAGCTTGAAGCCTGGGGAAGAGGCGTTGGAAGAGGAGTGATGGAGGTGCCCTGTGGAAGCCCACCAGGCAGAGCCCTGCCCTAGCCCCCTCCCTACCACCTCTCCTCTCCTCTGCTGGCACAGCTTGGCTGCAAGGGACCAGACCCTGGTTTGGGGAGGTGTGGGCACTGCAGCATCAGTGTGGGGTGGACCCTGGGGTAAGCAGGGCTGACTCAGGGATGGGACTGCGTGGTGAGGATGGGAGCTGCTGGCTTCCTACTGCACCTCTTCAGCTGCACTTGGATGTTCCTGCTGCGCCAGTCCTCATGCTGCCCAGCTTCCCACCTCCCCAGGGAGGCTCCTGCCACCCTGCAGGGGTGACAGCTCCATCCCCAGCTGCCAAGACACCACAGACATCATCTCTGGAGATCTGGTGACTTCCTGGAGAACACTGTCCTGTTTGCTCTTCACACCCTGTCCCTGCTGGGCAGCATCACAACCACATCTCCCAAACCAGGTCCCAGGAGGGATGGGGAGGTTGGAAAATCCTAAAGCAGCTGGAGGGAGGCAGGGAGGCAGTTGCTCTGAGCAAGGGCCTCTGCTGTGCCAGGATGTGCCTCTTGCTGTCAACACCACTGGGAAAATTACACACCCCAGAGGGTCTCCCAGACACCTGCCCCAAGGTAGAGAAAGGGCAGCTACTGGGTAGAACCAACAGCACCTGCCAAGAAGAGTTGGCCGTGGGAAAACAGGGTGATGTGCTGGCTGTGCTGAAAAGGAAGGAGAATTGGTCCCTGGGGACAGGGTGTTCCTGTGGGGCTGGAGAAGCCACCTGGGTGCTTGAGGACACGTGGTTTCTCTGTGACTCCCATTGTGGCATGGCATCTTAGGGGACAGCACAGGGACAAAGATGAAGCTCTCCAGCCCAGGGCAAGTGCTGCCTAGATCTGCCTGACCCAGGGTGGACGAGCAAGGCCACATATGAGCCAGAAGGTAACCAAGTATCTTAAGATACTGGGTGCTGCTTTCACCCTCCTAGACCAACCTTCCAGCCTACTGGTCACCCAGCAGGTTCACCCACCACCTCCAACTGCTCACAGTCAGGTTATAGGAGATGGCTGTGACCACTCAGAGGGGTCAGGACCTCCCCCTTGAGAGCTGTCAGCAACTCATCCAGAGCTCAGCAATGAACCAGCCTCCTCTCACCTCCACCAGACCCAAAAGCTCCTGCAGAAGCATCACTAATTAGCAAGCCAGGAGCACATTACAGTATCATCTGGCTATTTATACAGTGCTGCTTTACATAAACTGTACTGCAGGAGAGGGAATGAATCATACCTGCTCTGCCAGGGCTGCACGAGGCAAACACAGCCCAACGCCTGCTCTGCCCCATTCCCCTTGCCCCTCCAGGGCCCAACAATGTGGGGTAGCTTCCCCGAGTTCCTTGTGCTGGGGCTGCTCCAGTCCCTGGGGGTTGGGATGCTGCTGGGGTCAGGATGTTCCCATAGCAGCAGTAGGTGTCATGCCCAGGGTCTGTGCTCTGCATGTGAGAGCCTTTAACACAGGGTGGGCACATGGCAGGGACCACACCTTTACCTCTCCAGTGCTTTCCCCTGTTCCTTGAGAAAGATCAATGCTAGGGATCTGAGGCAGGGAAACTGAGGCATGAAGAGTAAGGCACATTCCCCGGGGCTGGCAGCATCCATCCTCATGTGCACTGCACTGATGGGCAAGATTTTTTACCTCCTCCCATCAGTACCAGCACACTTGGCACCACAAGTGCCAGTCTGGGGAACAGGCAGCCCCAGAGAGCCACTGGGCCAGTTTCACCCCAGCCACTGGATGGGGACAAGGCCAGCACTGCTCCCCCAGCCCGGTCTGCTGCATGGGAGCCCTCATGGACCAGCCCAGGCAGGTTTTGTGGTGACCAACACACCAAGCCCACCACAAGAAGCAGCATCTCTGCAGCAGCTCAGCATCAGTGCTGCCAGAGCTTGGTGGACCCAGCCTGGCCTGCTGGCACCTGCCCAGGCTCCCTGGAGGGTCCCCACGTGCCACCAAGGGGACATGCAGGGAAAACCATCGACTGAAACATCAACCGCAGCGCTGGAAGAGCCGTCTCCTGACAACCAGAGAAGGTTGTTCAGCTACTGTGCTGTATCATAAATCACACCTCTATGACTCGCCATCTGTCAGCCAGATTACACATGTTCAGAGTCCCGTGTCAGTGTTTAAGGCAGAACACAGCATCTTTTCCCCAGAAATAATTATCAGCCCTGAAGACTCCTGAAGCATCCTAGCCTTTCCCTCCAAACCTGCTGGCAGAGCAGGGCTGGCAGCGCCGGGGAGCACAGGAACACCCTGACATTCCCCCCATTAACACACAGCTTTGTGCACACCTTAGGGTAGCAGGTCCTGGCACATCAAACACCCCCCTGGCATCAGCCGTGGCACCTAGCCCTCGCTGCAGGCATGGAGTGGGCAGCAACAGCCAGAGCTGCTGAAGGGTGATGATGAGAGTGCTGTCTTCAGCTGGGATGTTCCACCAGGATGAGTGCACCGAGCAGCACCCAGACCCTCACTGCTGGCACAGCCCGGCTTGGCTGAGGGGTCGGACAGTGCAGGACACAGCTCCATGCCAGCTGCACTGCCTGAATGTGCCACCTAACACCTACCTGGTGTCTGTCCCTTCACCAGTGCCATGTCTAGAGTCTGATTCCAGCGTGGGTAATTGCCAGAGCCTCTGGCTCATTGAGGCTATGGGGCTGCAGGCAGAGTGGAGGGCAGGCAGGGCAGAGGCAAGGCAGGCAGGCAGCCCAACCCCGTCCTGCCCCTGCTCAGCACAAAACCTGCTGAGCTGCCCCTGTGGATGAGGATATGGTTCTGGGGAGCCGCCTGCTACCCCCTCACTGGCTGGGTAGGTGACGAACGGTGACATTTCCCAGAGCTGCCCGAGTACAGAAACACACAGTTTCATCCCTCCGTTCATCCCTCTGGCTCCAGCAGCCGTGCACAGGCACAGATCTGCTGGGGGGGCTGCACTGCCTCACTGCCACGTCCCCCACACTACAACTGGGAAGTGATGACAAGCAAAATCCCCGTCCCCTCGGCTCCATGGCCCTCCCTCTTCCCTGCTGTGGCCCTCGGAGGGACATCACAGCTGCCTCTGCCAGCAGCTCGGGGGCCT